GTAATGGTCTCAAGTTGCAGTGGGGGAGGTTTAGATTGGATATTAGGAAAAACTTTTTCACTAAGAGGGTGGTGAAATACTGGAATGCGTTACCTAGGGAGGTGGTAGAATCTCCTTCCTTAGAGGTTTTTAAGGTCAGGCTTGACAAAGCCCTGGCTGGGATGATTTAACTGGGAATTGGTTCTGCTTCGAGCAGGGGGTTGGACTAGATGACCTTCTGGGGTCCCTTCCAACCCTGATGTTCTATGATTCTATGATGTAGTAGTTGCGCTTATTACAAGCACTCTTACTGCAGTTACAAGAGAACAAGAGATGGCCCAGTAACCCTAAAAACCAATTTTGCTGCCTTATTTTAGAGTTCGGGATGAACTTTCTTTGCTCGATGGCTGTGTGCTATGAGGTACACACCGGCTACTTGTGCCAGAAGAATTAGTCAAAACTCATACACCTGGCACACGATACTCATCATGGAATTGCCAGAATCAAACAAAACCAAACAATGACTACATGATCTGTATTGGTGGCCAGGGATGGACTCTCAAACTGAAGCACTCATAAAATCCTATGTCACTTGCCAAATGCATGATAAGACAGCAGTGACATGTACCCCTCCATTACAGCCTGTTCCTCTTCCTGAATCTGCCTGGGAAAAAGTGGCGATTGACACTGTAGGACCCTTTCATACTGCTCCAAGTGACTGCCATTATGCCATCACTTTAATAGACTATTTCAGTAAATGGCCTGAGGTAGCGTTTACATCGCAAATCTCTTCTGCTACGGTAATTAAGTTCCTCTCTTCAGTTTTTAGCAGGGAAGGTAACCCCAAAGAACTGGTTTCAGATAATGGTAGTCAATTTACTTCCCTGGAGTTTGAAACTTTTCTAGCAGAGAGGAACATTTTAAATAGAAGGTCATCCCTATACTACCATCAAGCCAATGGGGAAATCATCCCTATACTACCGTCAAGCCAATGGGGAAATCGAATGGTTTAACAGAAGTTTGAATGAGAGTTTGCAAATGGCTAAATTGGAAGGGCGATTGTGGATAACCTTCACTACTGATTTCTTGCAAGCATACCAGGCTACATGACATGCCACAATGCAAAGATCATCCGCAGAGTTACTGCATGGGAAACAGATGAATACTAAACTGAACATTGTTGGATTGTTAAAGGCATGACCTGCGGCCCCAACTGAGGATGATGTGAGAAAAACAGTTGAATAGAACGAAGCAAAGTATAAGGCTTTCACAGACAAGCGGCGGGGTGCTAAGGAACCAAAGTTCGGGTGTGGTTCCTTCGTTAGAATACAAAAACCTGGAATTTTACGCAAAGGGGACCATAAATTCACAGCTCCTCTTAAAATCATAGAGACAAAGGGACCTTACACCTACTGACTTTCTGATGGGCGGCTATGGAATGCTTCTTATCTTGCACCTGCCTATGCACCAAGAGGAGATTATGCCAACACCCAGTCTGCACTGGATGACTTCACCATAGTATCAACACAGCAAGACATTGCACCGGAACAGGGGCTTGAGAGATGGCCTGTCAGACCCAGAAGACTGCCTGTCTGGACTAGACTATGTTACGTAGTATCTATTGTGTGTTTAATGTAATATTTCTGTCAACAGTATAGTGCCTTGTTTCCTATTTGTTCCTGTGGTTAGAACAACGTTTGTTGTAATTGGGAGAGTTTCTTAAGAGAGGAGAGAATGTGGTGTTTAGATGTTGCTTGTAATTATTATAATTGGGAGCACTGGCTGTTGGGAGTCTGAAAGGACAGGAAACAGGAAAGAGGGGGAGGAGTTGAAGAGGCTTAGGGAGAGCTACTGAGGGTGTAGCAGCAGCTTGGAAAAGAGGTTTCCACTTTAAAAAATAAAGTCCTGTTGAAGTATGTTAGTACCTTGCCTGGCTACTACAACACTACTCATGCTGGGAAGCACACTGTCAGCTGCAGTGTAGATATACCTCAGGCTCAAAAAGCTTCTAAAACAGTTGCCCAGAGAAGGGTGTTATCTAACCCCAGGGTTGTGGGTCTGCATAAGAAGCTCAAATCTGGGGAAGATTTGGCTGTTATATTGTTAGTATTTTCACATGACCAAGATAAATATGTCCTTGGTAAAGAGGATCTGTCAGGCTGAGCCTGTAGCTTTTCTGTGCTCAGGTGGTCCAGCAGCAATATACCAAACGGATAATGAGTCAAATTCATCCCTATTGTGGGCTTTATGGTGAATTTGGCCATAAATGATTTAAGATGTGTGGGCCAGGACAAAAGCTGTTTGAAAAATATAAACCTATTTTCATGAAGGGTGGTGGTGGTCAGATGAAATGTTAAAGTTGTTTTAATTTGGAAGTGTTGGACATTGAACCATTTTTGCATTTTTTTATTTTATATATTTAAATGAAAACATTCACAGATGGTTATTACATTTTCTCATCTACCAAAAAACGCATTATATTGAATTTATACCCTGTTCTAGAGTTGCCATCTTGGAGCACCCCTTCATGGCTGAACATAAGCATCAGCCTCAGCTCCATCTCCCCCACCACCAGAGTCTATACTCCTTGTACACTCCCTTGGGCTGAGGACACCTTATCACAGGGTAATTTATGATTACACATCTCAAAGGTATAAGCTAACTGTAATTCAAAACACCTCAGTCTCTGCCAGCTTTTAGAACTCTCATCTCTTCTTTGGTCCGCAGTCTTTCTGTCAAATAAAACAATGTCTGCCCAACCTGGGCTTAACAAAAGGCTTATGTCCCAGCTGGGTCCTTGCCCCTTGTATGGGACAGTGGCCACAGGGCTGGTCCCCTGGCTTTCCTTCCTGGAGTCTTTTCCAGGGACTACTTCAGGAAACTTTCCCTTTCCTCAGCTCTTTATAAGGAGCATCTGTCCCTTGCTCAGCTGGAACTGTTTAGTGACCAGGGCTGGCCAGCCCCAGGCCTTTAGCCCATAAATGAGCAGGCCATCCATTTACACACCCACTTGTAGGTCCATGTTAAACAGCTAGAGTGGTGTAAATGGCTTTTAGCAGCCCATGGTCTTTTGTAACTTGTAGAGAGCAGATCAGGAAATAAATATGAAATGTTTGTCATACTGGACAGATTGAAATGCATAAAAGCACACTGATAAATATTCTTTTAGGAAGTACGGTACAAGATCTTAGACAAAAGCCTCATGTCAAAATCCTTAGCCCGTGTGGAGAATGTAAAGCTTTACTGCTTGTGTGATACCACCCTGGATTCAGGGCATAATTTATTTAAAAAAACCCAAAAAACAACAGAGCCCTTCAAAGGCTTGCGTGTGCTTTTTAGGTGTCTTTTCTTTGGCATTTCACTTTATAGAAAATAACCCAGAGAGGGTTCTTCCTTTTGGCTAAAAAGATAAGAGTCTTTTGTTGGAGTACTGGGGTTACACAATCTATGAACAACAAAAAAGGAATGATTGATTTCAGGGGCCTCCAACTCCATTTAATCATTTTACTTGTAAACACTTACATCTGAGATTCTGTCACAGACTCTTTACTACTTGGGCAGGATCAAAGCGGACATCATTCCGGACTACAGGCAACCATATCAGATATGATGATAACATACAGGGCCTGGTTTTCCCTTGTTTTGTTCAGTCATTTACACCTGTGTACAATGCATGTAAATCACTATTATTTTGATCTGATAGCATGTTCACCTAACTTTACACTCACTGGGCTCACTCCTTAACTCCACCTAGTTAACACTGAATGCAGCTGAAGACCAGTGGGAGGGGGAAATGTGGGTCTGAGGTGCATTTCTGCTCCCCTGAACCTGGGATGGCAGTAAATATCCCCCGTGATAATTTAGAGAAGCTTAAATAATCTAAACTACAGCAGTTCCAGGGATTCCATAGGGTCTGATGTACCAGCCTAGAATCAGGTGTAACATCAAGTGCTCGACCCCTCTTCTCCCCTTCCATACCTTCATGGCCCAGCCTGATCAGGGGTTCAAGATTGAGCCCAATATGAAGATGTCGTAAATGACTGCACAATAGAAAGGACAGGTGAGAATCAAGCCCACTGAACATGTGCTGCAGAACAGATTTGAATGTTGGAAGTTCTAGAAGTGCAAACAATTAGGGATTGAGAAACAGCATACACTGTGACCCTGCAATAACACCCATCAACAAACATACCCTGGAGTCTGGTAAAAAAAGATTACTATACCAATACCAAGAACAGTTTAAACATCACAGTTTCTGCCTAACCAGCCACAACATGGTAACCACAAGCTATTATACCCCAGAACCAACATACTTTACCATACTTCCAATACATATCACTTGTCTGCACCCCATATTTAATCTCACCAGTATTAATATACTGTGAACAAAGATCTATGTTACATCTTGGGTAACATATCACTGTGGCCCAATGGCTCTAAAATTGCATCAATAATGAGAAACAAACATTTCACCTCTTGTCCTAAAAACCCAAAATTGTCTCTTTCCAGTTCTAATCCAATCTATCTCATCCACACAGCAAAATATATTGGTTGACTGTAATACTCCTCTATATTCTACTATCCCATTCATCCACCTGATGCACAGGAGGTTGCTCACCACAAAGTGGTTATCATACAACAGAGTCCACATACTGGAAGCAAGTCTAGAGCCTCATAATATCCTCTTTGGGGATTTCTTTCAGAGAAATCAACCAGCCAGACACAGAAATCCACATTTTCTGGAATCTTGGCAGCCATTTTTACTTTTATCTTAGCCCCTAGCTGGAATAGACTAGTTAGTGTTTGGCTGTTTTGTTCTTCTTCCCTTAGAAGGAAGAAGTCTACAGACAAATGCTAAACCTGAGCCTGCTAGAGAAGAAGCTTTACAGCAGGCATATCTGAACACGACTTTGCAAACTGAAAACATCCCACACAGCCTTTGCGAACCCTCCCACAGTCTGCTCCCATCATCACTTGAGAATTGTCTTCTCAGAGGTGAGAGAAAGTGACATGCTACTTACATTCAGCAGCTTGGGTGGTTGGACACTGCAGCAAGTCCCCTTGGTTTGTGTGGCAAGCAAACAGTGAATATTGTGGTAAATAGGACCATGGGCAGCTGCCTGAAATCTGTGGAGAAACATTCAAAAGCGGACTTAAATGAAAATAGACCTCAACTGAATTGAAAACAAAAAGTTCTGTACAACTCAGATCTTAAAGCTCATTTTCTGAAAGTTTTTCCAGAGAATTTCCAGCTTCTAGAGGAATTTAGCAAACAAACCTGAGGACCACGACAGAGTTTAGGTTAATTGTTACCACAGAGAACACAATGGTCTGGGCATATCATAAGTGAATTATAGACGGAGACAATGGGCGAGCGTGACAGTTATTTGGGTAACTTTCACTATGAATTTCTAAATCTTTAAATGTTTCCCTTTTGTTAACTGTGTCAGACATGTATTTCTTTACCATCTTGGCAACCTTAATGGATAATCTCAAAATCCCAGACTTTAATATTTACTTTAATATTTTGTATGGTGTCTGAGAACCTGCACCTCACCTCCTGTGACATGCCCATGAATTAAAAATGCCCAGAATTATCCCTGCCCCAAAGACCTCACTCAGTCTAACATGGTTTTTCATATGACAAAGTTGGTAATGAAAAGTAAAATCCAATTCCAAACTTTGATATAAAGATGTTCTATCCACTTAAAATTTGGAATTAAGCTATAAATAGGAGACTGAGCTGGTGGTCATTTGAGTCCTAATGATAGACTGTCCTTGAAATTTGGTTGATCTGCAATTGTGGCCTGATCAAAAGCCCACTGAAGTCCATGTGAGTATTCCCATTGACCTCAATGAGCTTTTGATCAGGCTTTAAGCGTTTTATAATTTACTTCAGTGGAAGCATAACTGGATCCTTATTGACTAGTGGATGCTGAAAAGAGAAGAACTGATGTTGATAAATGTCTTGCAAGTTTCGTACCAGTAATACCCAGGCAGTTTAGACCTTGGAATCTATCTTGGAGATTAGAAACAATACATCTGGTATCACATTTGCTTATGTGGTCTCCCACCATACCCACCTGACCCCTTTCAAGGATGTGAAGATGAAGATTCAATTACTTTAACTGAATATCTCAACTATTAAGGAAATTCTTGTGTCTCACTTTTTGAACAGCAACACACAAATCATATCAATCTCTGTTAATACAGTACCACGCTGCATCGCTGTGGTAACTGAATGGCTCCATGGTGTCTGAGAACCTGCACCTCACCTCCTGTGACATGCCCATGAATTGAAAAGATGCCCAGAATTATCCTTAATAACCCTACAGTTTTCCAGATAATGCACTCTTTTCATATTTTAGCTCCTTTAGCTAGTCTCTGATGGATACAATGTGGTTTTGCCCAAGATCTTTCATGTGAAACCACCAATGTAAAAAGAAATTTCTGGGCTGTGAAGTCACAACCCAAGCTGCCAATAATGATTAAACCTTTCAAAAACAACTCTCCCACGAAGATATCCATGAGCAGTCTTCTGTAGCCATAGGTTTCAGAGTCACAAAAGGCAGAGAAAGGTTAACAGTTATTCATCTTGACTTGAGCTGTAAAATGATTAAGTTCTCTGTGCAGGGAGATGAGAAGAGTGGTCACTGTTGTTTGCGGGGAGTTCAAAGCACAATCACTTCAGACGTCAGTTTGATACAAGTTGTTCAAAAAACATAAAGCCTTGACAATGAGTAACTTGTTAAGCACAGGGAAATCTCTGTAAATAGAAATCACAGGCTCACTGTTTATCTGAATTATATATGAATAAATTCAGATAAACACAGTGAGCCTGTATATTTATTTGATTTATTTTCAAACTATCTTCTGATCCGAAAAAAATAATTGTGTTTACCATCACCAAACTTCCAGAGAATTATTTGGTCAGTAAACACTTGCAAATTTCAGATTTCTGAAATGATGGGAAAGTTCAAGGCTGATTTTTTTCCAGTTAAGAATTTATTCTGAACTATTTTCAGAAGATGGTGTAAATCTTGATGTCATTAGTTATTTTAGATTACCTTTTGCCTGAGTTACACGAAGTTAGATCTAGAGAAGCCTGACTAAAGTCAATTAAGCTAACTTTGGGTTTACACTAGTTAAATGTGAGCAGCATGTGGATATTTGTATTAAGGGGTAGCTGAAACCAGCAACAAAATTGGTGTCAGTATATTTATGACTATATAATATTTACATTATTTCATTTTAAATGAGTTAATGTTAAGGATTGTTTATCAAATATGAATATGGATTTGAGTAATTAATAATTGTCATTATTTAACTTAAATTTCACTTCTCTCTTTTTTTGCTCACACGTACAAATCCCTACTTTTCTATCTAAGTATTTATATATCACCTGCTGCTGTAATTCTGAGTTCCTGAAATTGATGTCTGAGAGTTTTTCAAATGAAATCAGAGTTTATAATTTGAGAAAGGTTGCTATCATGCAGATTCAGAAAAAGGAAGATATTATTTCTTATTTGTACTACTATAGCTCTTTAAGGAATGTGATTTTTAGGACTCATTTTTGATTAGGTTAAGTAAAAAGTATCATCTCTGTGATACTTCTAAGAGATTTCATACTGAAAACAAAACTGATATCAGTTTAAAGTGTTTCAGGGTTAAACCTAAATTTGCATATCTACAATAGCACCAGAATTAGCAGTGTTTCCAATAAAAGGATAGTGAGTAAATTAAGACTGCCCAGGGTAGCTTTAAAATTATGCTCTGGCCATTTGTGTAGGTTTCATCTGACCATGCACTATTAATTCTGCTATTCAATAAAAAATGAGTGCAGTTACTATAGCAACTAAGTAACACATAGTGTATATATAGTATGTTGCCTGCAAGAAACAGAACAGCTTCTTGCAGAAATGCAATTCCAACCATACAGTATGAACTGATGTAAAACACTCTTCAAAAAATATTAAGAAATACATTTTTTAAAGCAAGCAGACATTGGCTCTTTTTTTAAACAATTTCTTTGGTTCTAAGTTGGTTCCATTATACCATGATTTTGACTTTTTTTCAGTTTGTTCTTGGGTTAATTGAACATTGGGTAGTAAGATTGTTACAACAATGTTCTGAGTAAATTTGAATTGGGTGGTTTTTTTTTTATGTGAAGTATAATTTAATTGTGAAATAAATGTTCATTTAATTGTTTTGGAAAGAGATTAAATGACCATGATATACATGTATTTTCCTCTAACTAAACATGCTAAAATATAAATAGGGAACCCACAAAGAAAAAGCTTAAGAAAGTTTAAGCAGACAAAGAAATCAGAAGGAGCTGTGGACAGATTTATACAGATTTGTGTGTTTTAATTGTACTGGCACTTTAGTTTCGTTGTAATTGCACTTAAATTGCATATATTTTTACAAAATGAAAAAGTAGTTAAAGCTGAATTGTACTGCATGAAACAATTTCAGGCATTTACTACAGACATTTTAAACAGTTCATGTGTGGAACAATTTCACAGTCCTAATTATACTAAGCATTTTTTTAAAGGAACGGTGAGTAAATCCAGCTCAGTTACACATAAAAGTTATAATCTTGGTTCCAGTCATCCCGCAAACTCTGAGTGAATAGTCCTATTGACTGCAGTGGGAGCTGCTGGGTGCACAGCACTTTTGAAAATCAGGCTACTTATTTAGCTAAATATAGATTTTTTTGAAGCCTAACTTTGGGCATCTTTTTTTTTTCTTCTTCTTCTTATTTGGGCCATTGCTTTTTGTTACCTCTTGTTCCCCATTTATATGTTGCCTGTTTAGGCAGAAAGTTCTTCAGAGACGGGAACTTAGCCATGATTTTCTAAAGTGGCTGGTGATTTAGGGTACCTCAGTTTTTGGGTGCCCAGCAGGAGACACCTTAAAAGGACCTTATTTTTAGAGATGGCTGAGCCCCCATTCTTTGAAAATTAGGCTACCTTAAAGTGTAAAAATCAGGCACTGACTTGAGTTAAAATTGAGGAACCCAAAATCGCTAGTAATTATAGAAAATGTTAGCTGTTGAGCCCTACATGTCTCTAAGCTATCTCTCACATTGTTAGCATTAGAACAATTATTCATGGTCATAAGTTCCATTAGGGAGAAGGTCCCCTTTATACAAGGTGCTGCAAAAACTCCATCCTTACTTGAAAGAGTTTACCATCTAATTAAAGCCAGATGAAAAGTGAAAGTCCGATGCCAGGTGAGTGTGGCTGATAATGGGAAGGAAGCAAGAGAGTGCTTGGATAAAGGTAAGAATAAAACAATTCTGTCTAATATGATCTGTCTGGGGCCAGACCGTACCATCAGTGTTTTGCAGAACTCTTTGCAGAGGTTTTGCTTAAAAACTTATATTATGACATGACTATTTGTTTGGCCTTTTGTTTCCTTCCTGGTCTGCACCTTGCTTGCAGTGTCCAGAATGTGTTTATTAGGCTTTTGGTTATTTCTTTTGGTCCTGCAAACAGATGCACCATTATTTATACAAATTCAGTATCAGTAAATATCAATAAACTATTTATAGGCCATTGCTAATGAGAAGCAATTATCTGAATTTGTATATTGCTAGATATTGACAGAGCCAACTCAGATTAATAAGGTATATGGAGCTATTAACATTTTACAGACCACTAATGTGCACTATTAGTGACTGGTGCAAATACAGTTGGGAAAAAAAAAGTAAACAAAACAGTAGCAGGTCATTACCGCTGGAAAAGTATAAGAATTAGAAAGTAAGTCAAGGAACAGTCCTTGCTTATTAAATACAGCAGTGAAATGTATTTACAGGCCGTCTTTGTTTCCATCTCTACTCACACAAAACTTCTCCTGTCCTTGATGGGAGCTCCCTATATATAGGATAGGGTTGGAAGATTGGATGCTCATTTTAGTACATTTTGCTTCCATCTTTGAACATGCAGCCAGTTCAAAAAGTCCTTTAAAATATGTCTCTTTAAAGAAGTTTAATGTAAAATCAGAAAAAGTAAGAAAAACATTTTAAAAACTAGCCATTATACAGTAGATCAAACTATTCAAGGTATTATATATAATACATAAAATAACAATAACACCCAGACTTTATATAGCATTTT